CCACTCACGAAGCTGCTGGGTCGTCTGGGGACGCTGCTGCTGCTGGGAGCTCTGGCCCGAGCCAGTGCCTCCACTCCGACCTCCGCCGCCACCACTACCACCGCTCCGACCGCCACCGCCACCACCGCCACCACCGCCACCGCCGCCACCGCCGCCGCCGCCACTACTGCCACTGCTTCCTCCGCCGCCCCCGCCTCCACCACCGACCCCACTCCCACCAGCGCTCCCGCCACCGCTCCCTCCAGCACCGCCTCCCCCCCCACCTCCCCCACCTCCTCCCCCCCCAGCGCCACCACCACCACTTTTGCCCCCCTTGCCCTTGCCGGTGCGGCGCCTCCCACCAGGAGCAGAAGCAGCGCCAACAGACTCAGCACCAAGGAAGTCAACAGCAGCAGCAGCAGCGTAGGAGGGAGCGAGGGGAGAGGGAGAACACCCCTCAAAGATGGGGGTGCGAGGAGCGCCACGAGCAGCACCAACAGCTACAATGCTCTTTTCGGCCGCGAGCAGGTGCTCCTCTAGGAGGGCGACTGTGAGCTCAGTGGGACAGCGAGCAAGGAAGTGGTCTCGAACTGAGCGGAGGGTGTCAGGGAGACGGGTGACTATGAAGTGGAGTGTCCAGTACAGTGGAGGGGGGTTCTTAGCGCAGAACTCGGTGGGAAGGGCGGCACGCAGGCGAGCATCACTAGTGCGAAGGTGGGTGATAAGATCGGCGACTGTAGTAAAGGTGGACAGATCGGGGAACAGGTACGGCAGCATGAGGCGGCTAAGCTCGGCTGTGGCAGGCGAGGAGTAGCGAGCAACGACAGCATCGTACAGGGCCTTAGCGGATTTGCAGTCGCCAAAATGCTCGAGCTCAGCTAGCGGGAGGTGACTGCGAATGGCTAGGCGAGCAGCTGCGTCACGAGTCTGCCAGTGGGAACGAACACTAAGCTCGGCTGTGGCAGCAGGAGCAGCGGCAGCACCAGACGCGTAGTCATAGAGGGAGATGTGGTCCGTGCTATTGCTCATAAGATACAACTGCAGGTCGTCGAGCCAGGAAGTGAACTGCACGGGACGGCCCTCAGCATCGAAGGAAAGAACGCGAATAGAGGCCATAGCTCAGGCGTGAGGGCACAGCAGAGCAGCGGCAGCAGCAGAGGGGACGCGCTAGAGCGAAGCTAGTAGCCACAGCAGGAGAAAGCGGCAGTGCACAGGCAGGGAGCAGCAGGTGAGAAGCGCGGCGGGCGAGCTGCGAAGCGGGCAGCGGTGTGGGCGGGCGACGCAGCAAGCGGGCAGTGAGGCAGCGGGCGGGCCGCGAAGCGGGCAGCTAGCGGGCGGGCGGGCTGCGAAGTGGGCGGGCCGCGAAGCGGGCAGCGGGGCGAGCGGGCTGCGAGGCGGGCGGGCCGCGAAGCGGGCAGCGAGCGGGCGGGCGGGCTGCGAAGCGGGCGGGCCGCGAAGCGGGCAGCGAGCGAGCGGGCTGCGAAGCGGGCGGGCCGCGAAGCGGGCAGCGAGCGGGCGGGCGGGCCGCGAAGCGGGCAGCGAGCGGGCGAGCGGGCTGCGAAGCGGGCGGGCCGCGAAGCGGGCAGCGAGCGAGCGGGCTGCGAAGCGGGCGGGCCGCGAAGCGGGCAGCGAGCGGGCGGGCGGGCTGCGTAGCGGGCGGGCCGCGAAGCGGGCAGCGAGCGGGCGGGCGGGCTGCGAGCGGGCGGCTCGGCGAGGGGCGCGCGAGGGCGCTAGTGAGGGGCGCGCGAGGGCGCTAGCAAGGGGCGCGCGAGGGCGCTAACGAAGGGGCGCGCGAGGGCGCTAACGAGGGTGCGCGCGAGGGCGCTAACGAGGGGCGCGCGAGGGCGCTAACGAGGGCGCACGAGGGCGCTACGAGGCTAGGGCACGGGGTAGCGTGGTAACCGCATGCGAGCGGTGGTGGGCCCTTAAAAAAACGGTCGGTAGGTCCTAGGGACCTCCTGCTCTGAATACCATCTCAGAATAACTAGGCAAGAATGAATGAACTAACAGAAGTTTGGGTACAAATATGAAACCCTAGTTGGGGTTGTACCCCATATTGGCTACCCCACTACAGCCTACAAGCATAATACAGTTTAACAGAATGTACACACAAAAAACACATGCACACTGACGCACATAGCGATATGCACATACACGACAAACTAGCGATTAAAGACCACATACAAATGCACAAACAAAAGGGACAATTAGGAAGACATGAAAACAAAAGATGCAAAATATTACGGACAACAATCTAAATCAAATCCCACAATCCAGCATTTGCCGATCGCCTGGCTCAATCAAATATGATGTCAGGCGTATGTTCAACCTGGTGAAAAAAAAAAAAAAATAAAAATAAAACGAAGAAAGGAACGAGTAGAAGGGATGAAGTGCAAATAAGGTGAATGAAACTAAACCGAAAGAAACAGAGAAAACAAAGAGAGTGGATTCGAACAACGCTACGACAAGGTAGACGTCAATAACAAGCAAAAACCATTAATAACAATATAAAGAATAATAGCAGCAAACAAAAGCAGAAAACAAATGGTTAGGCAAATAAGAATGAGAACAATGACGATAAAATGATGGAAGGCTAGATATTTAGAAAGAGAAAAGGAAGACCGAAAGAATAAACAAGCGATGAATGGAGGAGACGGACGGAAGGAAAAAAGGGTGAAAAGAAGAAATCAAACATAGAAGGTGTAGAGGAAATGAAAAAGAAAAGAAGCTAACAAGGAGAAATCGTTGTAAGAAATCGGAACACAACAACAGACATACAAAAAGAATAGAGAAGGCATTGTATAAAGATTGAATTACTCAATCAGAAGTAGAATCTAGAGGTTGAAGTGGAATCTAAACGTGCAATACATACAAATTCAAAGAAGTTGAGAAATGAAGTGCGAGAATGAATTGAAGGAAACGAGTGAATGAGGGTATGCCGCGGTTCTAGGAGATCAGAAAATGCGGAGGAGAACTGCTATGAACGAATGAAATGACAGGGAAGAAAGAAGGAATGACATAAAGAAGGAAGGAATGAGAAGGGTACCAGTACAAACCAAGAACGGAAACAGTGAAAGGTAAGAAAGGAGAAAGAGACGTCTTACATGATAAGCATACATTTGTATTAGATGCAACAAGTTGACACGCGAAACTCACTCAATGACCTGCGAACAAGGAAAAGTACGATTCGAAGAAGTGAACAAGAAACAGAAAGCGCATTAAAATATACATGAAAATCTGCTGAAAACTTAATTGAACAAAACCGCTTTGAGATACCAAAATAAATAAGAGAACAAAAGGGAACGAGGAGGAAGACGACGGGATACAGAAAAAGGAGGAATAACTGGACAGAAACGGAGATGGTTCGTCCGGGGCGGTAAGGAGTAAAACGAAAAAAAACTAAGAACAACTAAAATATGAGCACACTAGAAGGACGCGAGAGAGGAAGAATAGGGAGAGACGAACGGATGAGAATAAGAGCTACTACGAACAACATCGGTTAGTATCTATCTTAGCTCTAGTTAATACCTTGAGGTAGGGTTATCTTCACCTTTGCGGCAGGTAGGAGCTTGACTAACGGCACTAAGGAACCAAGCACGAGAGGAAACGGGGTCAGAAAGAGGGACAGAAACCCTAAGGCAGTAACAATCCCGTCGCAGATAAAATTGTTATACAAAACTAATGCCAGCCAGCATCAGAGTTGTTAGCTCAGATGGTAGAAGCAGGGAAATTGACCGAAAGGTTGTAGGTTCGATTCCTGAAAATTGACAATCGCGGAATAAAGTTTTTGCGCGAGACAGCTGACGTAATACACTTGTCTGCCGATATTGTCACGCAAAAAATCCAAATGCCTTCTGACGTCAAAGTATGAAAACAGTACGTTAATAAAATCAAATAATATGAACATAACAAGAATAAGCAGACAGAAAAGAGTTCTCAACAATCGCATATTCAATATATTGTGAAACAGCCAAATCTGTACTCTACACGACCACAACAATTCAAGTATATATTTCATATATTATATGTCAAGTGCCTCTATAAATGACAGTGCAATTTATCGAAAACAAAAAACATGTTACAACATGTTGTTTCGCAACCCTAAGACGATTTCGTCGCCTCTTGTTTTTTTTTTTTGAACTCACAAATTGACATGACAGTTTTTACTTTCAGAAGAACGCGATGCGCCCTTAAGTAGTAGACGGCGGTCGTAACCTTTTTTAGACTAGTTCGACACGAAATTTGGTGCTGATAGCATTTCTCTTTTAGTCATGGCTCGGCTTGCTCGCCTAGCCTCTTGGGCAGCTCGGGGTTGGAATCCTACGGTCAAGATTTTCTGGCCCTACTTTGGTCATCCCTCTGGCACTCTTCGGCCCCAGTTTGATCATTTCCCTCGCTGACTAACCTTATCGGAACAAACCAACACGCAAAAGTTTTCGCGCGGGAAAAGGCATCTCATTGAACCGTCACGGATTAGCGACACAGCGCCCAGCCAAACTGGAGATCCCAGGGGCGCGGCCAATTTCCGCATCAAAAGCGGTACCCCCCAACAGCTATTTCCACTGGAAAAAAGCACATACATTCTAAAACAATGCTGAACAAAGATTGATCACATGCACTAACTTGTTTATTCCTCACATATAGGGATAACCTTAATAGAAGACCCAATTCTGTCTTATAGACCCGAAGGTCTATTAAAGAGGGTCTAATATCCGGGTGATTATGGTATGCTTCATTCTGTCATGTTGTTTGCTGTTTTGGCATCTTGCTTCCATGTTGCTGTGCTGTCATGCTGCCGTGCTATTGTACTGTCTTGCTGCCATGCTGCCATAATATCTGGCTCTCACAAGGATAAGGCCACCTGTAATGCCGTGTCAGATGCCGAGCCATTGGCCTCCCTGCCACGTGGCACCGTTGCAGCATAGGAATGGATAGTCAGCCACTCGCTTGAAAGAGAAAAAGAAATGCCACTCCACAATGGCAATGCATCTTATACTCGTCAATAATATGCGTACTCGTACCTTTCAATGCCTTCCCCAACCTCTAGCCGTAAAAATCGCTCCAATCGGATCGGTACCCCCACCTTCCTGGAAGCTCCTGCTAGCACTTCCTGTTGGACATGAGATGGAGGGCGCAGAGAAAAATAGGCTTAAAACAGCAAAGATTCCCGAACAAATTTAGCGGATTAGGGCACGGGGCGGAGAAGGGCACAGGGCAGGAATGTAGCAACATTAGATATTAGCACCTGCACCAGCACAGCATGAATGCCTTTTCAAGGGAACCAATGAGAAAGCACGTGTGGGCAGGGTGCTGACCTGCAGGGCGTTAGATTCAGTCAGCCCTCACTACTCAACCCTTAACTGCACGGTGCCCAATATCATCTAGGGCATAGACCTGCCCCAGCAGCACCACCTCCCCGTGTGCACCACATGGCAACCACGTGGACGGTGCGCCTATCATCCAGGGGCATATAGGTGCTCTAGTAGTAGCACCAGCATTTCCTTGAGACCAAATGAAAGGCATGTAGGAGCCACATGGTCCTCACCTGCACACTTCTCTTATCGACCAGGGCATGCGGCTGATCCAGCAGCACCGCCTCCCCGGACGTACAGGCTGCCCATTCTGCACCGACATCCTTCCCACCCACCACTCGGCGCTTTTGAGTCGACTCAAAAGTCATTTCAACGCTCACCTGCATGGTCCAGTTCTCGTTCATGGCATGCGGCTGCTCCAGCAGCACCACCTCCTCGTAGAACTTGCACAGCCGCCCCGCCACCATCTTCTCCACCACGCCTGCTGGCTTGCCCGCTGCCACCGCCTGGGTGGGCGGGGAGAGGGAGTGAAGAAGATGAGTGTTGGGATGTCTCAAAACACCACGCCTGCTGCCTTGCCCACTGCCACAGCCTGCACGGGAGGCGCCACGAGACTATTTTCCCCACTGTGGCCTCAATGGGGAGACGGATGGGAAGGGGGGCAAAGGAGACATTGAGCTGACCGTTTGCAGAGTTGACCCATCAGTTGGCATGTTGACCTACCTTTTTGTCAAAACTGGAGCTTGAATAAATTGATTAAAAAAGAAAGTGCTAGGTCTTATGTACAAAAAGAGTTGGGTTGGGCAAGGCCTGGGAATGGATGGGATGGGAATCAAACCTAATCTTTATGGTGAGTTGCCAGATTGGTTGAGTTGAGGGGATCGCAGCCAGATAAGGTTGGGATGACAAATCTGCACCCAACCTACAAATAACCTACACGATATAAAATATAGTACACAATATGTTGATAGCATATTTTAACACTGTTGACTAGCATTGACCCACCTTTTGACTAGCGTTGACCCACTTGTTACTAGCGTTGACCCACCTGTTGACTAGCGTTGACCCACCTGTTGACTAGCGTTGACCCACCTGTGCTCGCAGCGCGTCACTCTCCCTCTCCACCACGTCCCCAGGCACGTCCTCCCGCCTCAAGTACAGCGGCTTCATCACACACACGTGCATTGCCAGTCCTCCTGCCACCTCATTAGCAGCGTCTACCACTGCTTGTGCTGGCACTCTGCACCCTCCCCAGCTGCTGCTGCCATTGTCAGGCGGCTCATAATGTGAGAGTGAGAACAGACCAGCTACCCGCCCCAAGCCAAATCCGGGGCTGCCGCGATCGTGCGTGGCCACGGTCACCGTGCCAAACGGCTCAGGCGCGGTAAGCAGGAAGGCTCGGCGCAGGCGCACGTTCTCCCCGGTCAGCGATGCCACCTCAGCCACCGCCTCTGCCTGCTGGCGGCTCCCCGACAGCTTTGGGTGGTCAAACCACACTGTGGCTTGCTGGTGGTGGGAGGGAATGAGGAGCAGGGTTGGGGAGGGGAGTCAGGTAAGGCGAGCGGTACAAATGTTGCTGCCGTGTTGCTGCCATGTCGGCCAGTGTCTCTGCCTGACAGCAGCGATAGAGGAGGATGAGAGGACGGGTGAGAGGAGTATCGGAGGAGGGATGACAGGAGGGGTAAGAGGAGGGATGAGAGGTGGAGTGAGAGGGCGGTTGAGAGGTGGGGTGAGACATTGAACGGATGTGATGTGAGACGGTGGAAAGGTGTGGCCCGTGTGGGGGAAGCAAAAGTTGGGGCCCAGCCCATGGGTGAGAGGGTAGACTTGGAGCCCTCTCAGCCCGTCCGTGTGGCAGATACAATCACGCACTCGCCCAGCATTTGAAGAAACCAGCTTCAGCCTATTCGTATAAAATGTTGTATTTCGTCGCGCTCTCGCTCCTCTGCTTCTTCTCCACCTCGCAGGCCAGTTACAGGTCGACTCGTGAACCCCCACGCACTCGCGTGCACTTGAAAGGGTCGTTCCCGCCCGCCCCCAGCAAATCTCGTCCGGCGATTCATCTCAACTGCAAGTGTAGTGTAGGCATCAACGTGAAGGCCCGTGCTTCACGGCTAAAAACATAGCCCCCACAAAGGTCGCTGCGTGCAACGGAGTCCGTCTCGTTGCGTGCAACAGAGTCCGTCTCACTGTTCACCTCCACCGCCGCCCCCACGCCCCACCGCAACGCCACGCCCACCAGCCCCTCCGCTGCCACCCGCGCCCTCACGTCCTTCACCGGCGCGCCAGCGCGCGCGCGGGGAGCTCCTTGATCGCCTCGAGGTTCCCCCCTCCGCCGGATCCTTCCGCCGCGCCTGGCCCCCCACCCCCAGCTTGCGCGCAACGCCCGGCGCTGCTGCTGGCGGCGGAGAACGCGCGGGAGGTGGCGGAACGCCAGGCGGCGGCGGCCCAGGGGAGCAGCTTGGCGCGCAGCAGAGGGCTGCTGACGTCACTGGCGCACTTGGCGATCGCTGACGACGTCATCGAGACTTGGATCTGGAAGAATGAATGCAAGAGGGCGGCAGCGCGTGGAAGGCACTGTCAGAAGAAATTCAGGACGAAATTGGCAAGGTAGCTAGATCAGGGATCGTATGATAGTTTACAACATTTAGACGTCTCCTAGTAATGTACTAGGAGAATAGCAAGGGCGCATCGAGCGGGTCGCTCAGGTCGCCGTTCAGATTTCTAAGACTAAAAACACGGCAGTGTCCAATGATTATATGCGTGACATCCGCCTAATGTCCATTCCCAGAACCAATCAAGACATAGGTACTAGGAGTAGTTGTCGCGCATGCTGTTGACGAGAATGATGAAACAGGACATGGTGGAGAAGTTACATCTTGCAAGGGCCACAAGTCGTTCACATCTAGCGCGCAGTTCTTGCCTTACGAAAGGCGACGCTGGCGACCACGGCGAGGGAGGGTCTCTGTTCACTCGCATGGATCGCGTGCGGCTGGTTTGCCACGGGCTGTTGTTTTCGCCTGCGCTTTTGTGTTCGCGTATGTATTCGCTAGGTGAATTGCCTGAAATTTTGGTTTCAGGTAACGAGGTCGGGTTTCGTATCGCCGATGAGGAACATGCGCGAGAGGTGCGGAGGTCGGATGGGATGGGGAACTTGGCTTGCGTGCTCGGGGTCCCAACACCCCAGCTAGAGGGGTTCAAGTTTCCCGAACCGAGCATTTACTGTAGTGTCTCGCGGCACTCCTCCACATTGCATGATTTTATGCGACCACAGGCGTTTAGGGTAACCGGCCGACGCGAGTGAGCTTCCATCGCTGCTGTTTGAATGCGTGCTCGAGCACCCCAGTTTTGATACGCAACACTCCTATGGCCGCAGCTGAAGAAGCTGACGTGGCAATGGCGAACTCTGTGGCGACGGCCACGGCCGACATTAGCCATCGTACCGAGATAGTAGCACATGTCGCAGGCGACAAGCCAGTCGCAGAATTCGAACAGGCCGTAGGTAACTCCATCGCTGACGTCGTGCATCCAGCCGAGTTCGATAAGGAGCAATTCGTTACTGTCATCCCGCTACAGGCCCTCGCCGTGCCTGCTCGGCTGGCGCAACAGACCTCCCGCATCGTTCGCGGGTGCGTACGATTGTGGGTCTCCAATGGGGCTCATGGGTGTCCAATGGGGCTCATGGGCTACTGGGTCGCATGCACGACCGCGTCGCGTGACCGACTGGGTCACATAGCGAGTGAGGAACGTGCGTGGAGGAAAAGTTTGCACGTGCGGGCTGGGCGCGCCGGCAGGGTATAGACGCACGAGGCTGCGACCATACCACTCGTCGCCACATCCTTTCCCGCCTACCTCCAGACGTTCCATTTCCAACTCACGCTCCCCCTTCCCCACAACCCACCCCCGTCCTCCGCTCACTCCTCCCAACTCACCTCCCCACTTCCCCCCTCTTGCCCTCCGTTACAGTCACACCTTCGACCGCCCTCGCTTGCGTCACATCCTGCCGCACCCCAGCGACGCCTCGCTGCGCCTCGTGCTGCTGGATGACGTCATCAAGGACGCCTCAACTGGTAGGTGTGCAACAGGGGATAGTCAGGGTTCGGGGTTTCGGGTTTAGTTTGGGGATGAGACCAACCGTATGCATGAGCAAGCCGCAGACAGCATATGCGTGAAGAACTGCTGAGGTTTAGGCGAAGGAGAGAGTTTGGGGTTTAGTACGAGATAAGAAGGACGAGTGCGTTGCACATCACCGCTGCATCGCTGCACCGCGCTGAACCGTTGAACCCTTACATTGCTCTCTGCCCTCCTCACACCGGCCTTTGGCAGCACGAGCAGCAGAGCAGCATGTTGAGTCGAACCATCGCACAATCATGTCTCCAGAGCCTCCAGCCATCCACTCCCACCTGAGCTCACGCCACCCATCCCACAGCACACGCAACACTTCAAGAACCGCACCATCGCTTACCGAGTTCCCCCATGCATGCTGTTAATCGGATCTCCCACCGTCCATTCCATTCCAGAGCATGGGAGTCTCCAATCGCTTGCGGAGTTCCTTCGTGTGCTTGCTGCGCTGCCCACCGGATATCCCACCGTCCATCCCACCCCACGCGCAACACGTTCAGAGTCGCTCATTCTCTTACCGAGTTCCCTGTCCGTGCTTGTTGGTCACCAGATCTGCCAGCGTCCGTGCGGCAGCAGCTGCAGCAGGAGGGACTGTTCAACCTCACCAAGTACGAGCAGCGCCTTGACTACTCCTACTGGCCTGCAGGTCAGTAGAAAGAATTTATTTTCTCCTTAATTTTGTTTCTGTGTTTCCCTTGTTTCCATTTGATCACACAAGGTCTCCGTAATGGGATACTCGTACTGGCTAGGAGAGGCTTAGTTGCAGTCAGATGCCTCTCAAACAGCCGCTTTATTTCAGTGGAGTCACACGTGCTGTTGGTGATGGCCATAAATATGCGTCGGTCAGGGTGCAGTATTCTGTTGGTTTTAAGCAGTGTTATTCATCCATTCATTCGATCGTTCGTTCGTTGAATCAAACCTCACACGTGCATGCGTGACCCGGTGGATCATGAGGCATGCCAGTCTCTCCTGACGCGGCTGCCACAATCCCCTGTCAAACCTGCTTCCCTTCCCACGCGCCCCTCACGCCTGCCTGTGCAGACCACGTGCTGAAGAAGCTGCTGCCGCCAGGGGTGGAGGTGCCCACGGCATTCGAGACTGTCGGTGAGCCCAGCTGTACCACTTACACCGAATAAGGTATACTTCGAGGTGTACCATGTACTTCGAGGTGTACCATGTACTTCGAGGTGTACCAGGAAGAGGGTATTATACCTTGCGCCTGCGTATGTATGATATGTATTGACGTAATACCTCTGCCACATGTGCTTTTTGTGGCCCAGCCAGTTACCTACCCACTGGGCAAGACGGCATGTTATTGTGGTGGGGTGGGTGCGCTGCGTGCACCTGTTGCCGGCATGTCAGCACGAGCTGCCATCTGATCTACCTGCGTTGACGCACCTCAATCCCTCCCATTCCCAACATAACACATCTCTCCCCCCCCCCCCACCACCCTGGTGCACGGCACGGCAGGCCACATTGCGCACGTCAACCTGCGGGATGAGCTGCTGCCGTACCGCTTCGTCATTGGGAAGGTGCTGCTGGAGGTGAGCGGTGCTGGAGGTGAGCGGTGCTGGAGGTGAGCTCAGCTCATGACATGTGGTGACGGGAGGTGAGGTTGCTTGGCGGGGTGGGGTTCCACGTGGCAAGCTGTGTGATGCCGCCTGCTCCCCGCCCCGCATCACTTGCTATGGCCCCCATGGAACACATCCCTCTTTTCTTAGACAAGATTCAAAACTTACCACATTCCTCTTCTCCATCCCCCTTCTCTTCCACACCCCTCCCTACCTCTCTCTCCCTTTGCCTTGTCCGTCCCGAACCCACATTCCCGCCACTCCTGGCAGAAGAGCGCCCTGTTGATCCCACCGTCTTTACTTTTGCGCCCTCCCTTGCCTCTCCACTTCGCCGCGTCCATTTCAATCCCACGCGCCCCAGTCTTCTGGCAGAAGAACACCCCGCTGATCCGAGCGGTGGTGAAGAAAAGCGTCCATCATCGAGAACGAGCTCCGCGTGCCCCATCCGACTTCCCTTTTGCGCCCCCCTCCCCCTTCGCCTCTACCATCTCAATCCCACATGCCCCCCTCGCTGCAGAAGAACGCCCCACTGATTCAACAAGAACAGTGGTGAACAAGAGCGGCATCATAGAGAACGAGTTCGACGTGCCAACGCTCAAGCTCATCGCAGGCGAGGGCTCCTCGTCGCACCTGCCCACCTCCGTGCGGCAGCACGGCGCCACCCTCCACCTGGACTACGCGCGCGTCTACTGGAACTTGCGCGCCTCTCTCACCCTCTCCCCCCCTTAAATCGAACCTCTCTTCACTCCCTGTGCTGTGCAGAAGAACGCCCCGCTGATCCGAGCGGTGGTGAACAAGAGCGGAATAATCGAGAACGAGTTCCGAGTACCAACCCTCGAGCTCATCGCAGGGCAGGGCTCGTCCACCCACCTCGAGACCTCCGTGCGGCAGCACGGCGCCACATTCCACCTGGACTACGCGCGCGTGTACTGGAACTCGCGCCTGGAGCACGAGCACAAGCGCCTGGTAGACGCGTTCTTTAAAAGGGGAGATGTGGTGGTTGACATGTTTGCTGGCGTGGGGCCGTTTGCTGTACCGGCTGCCAAGGCGGGGTGTGCTGTGCTGGCGAATGATTTGAATCCGGCCAGTGTGGAGTATTTGGAAAGGAATGTGAGGGTGAATGGGCTGGAGCGGCGGGTGAGGGCGTATAACGAGGATGCAAGGGTGTTTGTGAGGGGGGTTCTGAAGCCGCCGGAAGAGAGGGGAGGGGAGATGGTGGCGAGAGGGGTGGAAGGCGGTTTGGAGGATGGGAAGGAGGGGAAGAAGGAGGCGGGTGGGGAGGAGGGAGGGAAGGAGCAGGAGGGTGGGGAGAATGGGGAGAGGGAGCAGCAGAGAGCAGCCGCGAGGGGGGTAAAGAGAGAAAGAGGCGATGGGAGAGAGGAGGGGGAGCAGCAGGAAGGGGAGGGGATGGAGGTGGAGGATGTAGGGGGCGAGCAGAGAGTGACAGAGGGGAGCACAAGTGCGGGGCAAGGGGAGGCAGAGGCTGCGAGGGGAGGGGATGAAGAGGTTAGAGGAGGCGCACAAGGGCAGGAGGCGAGAGCAGGTGGTGGGGCCCACGGGAGTGGTGAGCCAGCTGGTGGCAGCGATAGACGCGCGGAGGGAGTGGGTGCAGGGGCGGGCGAGGGAATGCAGGGGGGGGATATGAAAGAGGAGAAAGCGGAGGAGGTTGAAAAGGGAGGGACGCAGGAGGGGTTGGGTGAGGGCAAGGAGGAGCAGGGGGGAAGAACAGGGAGGAAAGGCAAAGGGAAGAGGAAGGGAGGGAAGGGAGGGAAGGGGTCGAGCAAGGAAGAGGAGGGCATTGATGTGGCGTCAGTGGCGCCGTGGCGGCATGTGGACCACGTGGTCATGAACCTGCCTGCCTCCGCCATCACATTCCTGGGTGCGCTCCTCATTCCTTCCCTGCCGTGATGTCGTGTTTTGAGTCGACTCAAAACGTTTTTGCTGATAGTACTTGCTGAGGAATGGAATGGAAACTCATCCCTCTGGTATAATATGCATCCCTATGCTACCACACTTTCTTACCCCTCATCCCTCCTCATCCACATTGAGCCATGCTGCTGACACCTCTCTGAACGCCCCTCTTTCCAACCCTACCTACCCCCAACTCCACCCGATCCGCCAGACTAAGGTACTTTTTTTCTTGCCCACTGGGCACTATTGAGATTTTTGTTTAAGTGACTTGCCCATAGGGCATTTCCCTAGGTGAACGTCTCAAACACCCACCATTCGGACTCTCATCCTCCGCCCACTCCCCCATCCCTTCACCCGCACCACCCCGGCCCTCCACCCACTCCCCCGCCGCTACCATTCTTCCGGGCCAGACTCCTTCCGCGGGGCCTTCTCCCGCGCGCACTGGGAGGGCCCCCTGCCGCTCGTGCACACCTACTGCTTCCACCGCTCCGCCCACCCTGCTGCTGCCGTCCTGCAGGTGGGGTGGGGAGGGCGGAGAGGGGGGGCAGGGGATGGGGGGAGGGGGAGGAGGGGGAGGGGGGGGAAGGGGGGGGGTGTAGGGATGCAGCCGTCTGCATGGCAGTGGCAAAGTCCTCCCATGCTCGCTGGGTGGGGTGTTGGGTGGGGGTACCGCCTCCTTGCACCGTCCCTGCGTGGCCCTCACCTCACTCTCCTCCGCGCCATCATTCTTGCCCATGACTTGACTCTCATCGACTTTCCTCTCTCTTGCTCAATGAGCTCTGGTCTGGTCCCTTTGAACGCACTTGAGAGTTGACTGAATGCGGTCGGCCCCTCATGGGTCCCTTCCCTTCATCCATTCAAGAGTCGGCTCAACGGATCTGCCTGTCCCCCATGCCTGCACTGCATGGGCATGGCCGCCCCCATGCTTTCTCTTGCTGCTTCGCTCCGCTGCTTGTGTGCACTACCCGTCTGCATGGGAGAGCAGGAGGTGGAGCGGCACCTGGGCGCTGCAGTGGATGCCGCCACGCTCTCCATCCACCCTGTCAGGAATGTGGCGCCCAATAAGGTGGGGCCACGTGGTGGTGCTTGCAGCACCAGGCTGTGATGGGGGCATGATGGGGGCATGATGGGGGCATGATGGGGGCGTGTGAGGGTGTGTTGTGTTGTCTCGTCAGCTTCTGTGTGAGAGCGTTTCGCTGGGCAGATGAATGTGGTTCTAGGAACCTGCAATCTCATCTGCCTGTTTTGTTAGTGCTCCTATGACAGCCAAGCCGAGTCGTACCTTGGGTCGAAGTGACAAGGAAGACCGTCCTACCGTATTTTGTTTCCTCTTCTCCACTTATCTCCCCTGCCGTGTCTTACAGGACATGCTGTGTGTGTCGTTTCGGCTGCCAGAATCAGTTGCATTTGCCACCTCATAGAAATTGCTTGAAGGAAGATTGCCCTTCATGCCACGCCAAGCAGTCAGATTGATGCAGACAGCACTTGCAACAATTTGTACTCGTTACAAAATCATCAATTTAGAAAACTAACTGATAGAACTTCACACCAGTACTTTACTGAATGCCACATGTACCATACGTACCGTACACACCTATGGCCTATGGCATGTTACGTATATACACAGTAGCAGTATTCGTACCCTCTCTATGAAGCAGCCATGCAATGCAATAAAGGACCTAACTAACACTCTGCAAGCATGTGGCCACAACTATCAGATCCTGCCTGCCACCTCTCCCTCCCCTTCCCTCCACACACATGACCCACAGCACAGGCTGGCGAGACCAGCACCTTCCTTCCAATGCCTCACATACCTATCACTCCTCACAACGCTCTCCTTTGAAAGCAGCGGTATACACTAGGCAGCGACGATCTCTATCGAACCTTCCCGCACATGGCACTGCCGGAGGCTGTAACGGTGGTAGGCCAACCCTGCATGAGCATCTCCTCTGGCACGGCACTTCAACCACGTGACGTGACTTTTGAGTCGGCTCCTGGTCTGCAGGAGGCTGTAACGGTGCTTAACCAGCACACATCTCCCCCACCTCAACCACCACACTGTGGTGTGTCTTCTGTGTCCTGAGGCACATCACCCACACAGGCATGCTGCTGCACGCACAACACATGAGCCGTGACTCCTTCCAGCCATAGCCCTACCCCAAGAAAGCCCAATCAAGCCCGCTTATGCGCTGTCCTTACTGCCCTTTATGTGGGCTGCCCTGTAGGCGGCCCAGTGCCTCCTCCAACGCCTCATACACCACCCGGCCCCGCTCCTTGCTTGCCAACCCCCTCACAGATGCCGCACCATGGCCCCATCAGGCGTTGAGAGCTCGCGATGGGGCACCACCATCATGCTCCCCGCCACTGCCCTCACTGCCCTCACTGCCCTGACTGCCGTGGCTGCAGGCGGCCCAGTGCGTCCTCCAGCGCCGCATACACCACCCGGTCGCGCTCCTCACTTGCCAACCCCCCCCACACGTGCCGCACCATGGCCCCCTGCGGCCCTGTGAGCTCCTGGTGGGGCACGATGAGCACCCTCTCCCGCCACTGCGGCCAGCGCACCACCTTGTTGAGCCGGTCCTGCTCCCACACATGCCCGAACAGGTGGTAGTCGCCGCTGTACTCGCTGTACCACTGCCGCAAGAACTGCAAGAGCAGAGGGGGGGAAGGGGAGAAGAGCAGCGGGATGGCATAGTGGGCTTGACGAGCCACCTGGTAGGAATTGGACTGCCTCTGCTCCCACACGTCGCCAAATGGTGGTAGTCGCCGCTCTGCTCGCCGTACCAGTGGTGGAGGAACTGGGCGGGCAGAGGGAGGGAAGGAGACAAGAGCAGTGAAAAGATTGTGTATGTGAGGGAGGGATGGGAAGGGCAAAGAGCAGGCAATGATTCGATTCACCGACGCAACTGGAGCGAAGGATTACAATAACACCTGATTCTGCAACGGCCTGGGAAAAACGGCCATGCTACTTAGCAAGCTTGAAGCTGTCTGATTACCTCCTCCAAACGTCGCCTAACCGACAAACAGTGATAAAACCTAAAGAATCACCTCAACCGCAGCCATTGCCATCCACAGCCATTGCCATCCGCAGCCATTGCCATCCGCAGCCATTGCCATCCGCAGCCATTGCCATCCTCAGCAGGACCATCTCGGCCATGTGCCTCCTGCGTGGCACATGTGGTGTTGTCACGGTAGGTAGCGTGCTCGCATGACAGCTCAACCCCATGCCACCAACAGGCCACCACACAGCATACTTCCAAAAGCACTCACCTGGCCGCATACCTGCTTTTCCCACCCCAACCCACTCACTCCCCTCCCCTACCCACGTTGAAGGTGGCTGGCGATCTCCGCCACAGCATGACACCCGCATGGACATAGTCCGTGTCCTTGCGGACCAGCATCCCTGCATCGCATCCCCGTCAAACCCCACTAGTCCCACCCCAAGCAACCCCAAGCCACCCCACCCCCCACGTTGAAGGTGGCTGGCGATCTCCGCCACAGCATGACGCCAGCATTGACGTAGTCCGTGTCCTTGCGGAACAGCGCCTCTGCCTCCCCAAAGAACCCCTCCCTCGAGTCGCCGTTGCGTGGTATCAGAGCCACGGGCCCTCCTTCCAGCTGTGGTGCGGAGGGCGGCTGTAGCAGCAGGGCGGGGTCCTGTGGGAGCCACACCTGCCCCTCCAGCGAGTCTGTGAGATTGTCCCTCAGCAGCCAGTTGAAGTAGTTCTGAGGGGGGGGAGGGGCAGACAGAAGAGGCACATTTGGGGTTGGGGGATGGTTGTCCCTCAGCAGCCAGAAGAAGTAGTTCTGAGGGGGGGGAGGGGCACACACAAGAGGAATACACAAGGGGCACACACAAGAGGAATACACAAGGGGCACACACAAGAGGAATACACAAGGAGCACACAGGAATACACAAGGGGCACACACAAGAGAATTACAGAAGAGGCATACCCAGGGTCAATGGGAGCACAAAAATGTTACTTCGATATCATTTTTCGAAACTTGTTACAAGAATAGGAAGTAGAACCAACGCAATTCGGGAGATGGGCTTTTGTTACCATCGGTCCTTCTGAACGTGATGAGGGTGCGGTGAGGGAGACGTGGGGGTATGAAGGGGAGGCATTGAGAAGAGTTGAGAAGGAGATGTCTCGTGTGCTGATGGGTGAGGATTGGTGAGGAGCAGTGAGGCGGGGTGGAGAGGGAAAGAATCAACCACAGTTCAGGTATGGTCAGCGTGACCTACTTCTGACAGTTGAAGAATTTGTCGCCACCTTACCTCTCTGTTCGAGAAAAAAAAAATCAAGTACTCGAGCCCAGAGCAAGGAAGTGGCTGTTACAGGGTTGAAGACAGAGCGAGCGGGCACTGACAGGTTGCTTGATGGCTTGGATCCAGGCGGGGATGGAGAGGGTGTGGTGGTGCATGCGCATGTAGGCATCTGAGTCGAGGAAGAAGGCCCACTCGCAGCAACACACCAGCTGCTCCTGCAGGAACGGCACCTGCAGTAGGCCGTGCAGGAGGGGCAGGGGTTGAGTAGAAGGTGGTTGGCACTCGTGCTTGCATTGATGAGCGTGAGGATTGAGCAACGACACGTGCCGGCCAGGTGTGCAGGCCATGCAGGGTGTGCAGGTGGTGCAGGTGTGGAGGGTGTGCAGGAGTTGCAGGGTGCGCAGGGGAGTAGAGGGAGCAGGGGGAGCAGGGGGTGCAAGGTGGGCAGGGGATGCAGTGGAGCAGGGGATGCAGGGGACAGGGGGAGCAAGGGATGCAGTGAATAAGGAAACGCTCTTGCCAGGCGGTTAGAGGTGGTTAGATGCTCATGCATGCATCGATGAGCATGAGGAGTTGTTGTGCACTGCTTGCTGGTGACTGCTTGCTGGTGACTGCTTGCTGGTGACTGCTCGCCGCTGAGTGTGCGGAACACACTTATACTGGAAGCGCCACACACAGGCAGCAGCAGCACGAGATGCAGAGAGTATGTACGGCTTACAGCGTGCAGAAGAATGCTGATGCATGGGCGGAGGGAAAAGGCAGAGTGAGCAGTGCCTTGTGCTCCACACGTCAAGTGATCAACCCCTTGCCTCGCGTGCGTGCGGAGAGCCCTCACCTTGAACCACGATGGCCTCACCTTGAACCACGATGGCCTCACCTTGAACCACGATGGCCTCACCTTGAACCACGATGGCCTCACCTTGAACCACGATGGCCTCACCTTGAACCACGATGGCCTCACCTTGAACCACGATGGCCTCACCTTGAACCACGATGGCCTCACCTTGAACCAAGATGGCCTCACCTTGAACCACGATGGCCTCACCTTGAACCACGATGGCCTCACCTTGAACCACGATGGCCTCACCTTGAACCACGATGGCCCCACCTTGAACCACGATGGCCTCACCTTGAACCACGATGGCCTCACCTTGAACCACGATGGCCTCACCTTGAACCACGATGGCGTCACCTTGAACCACGATGGCCTCACCTTGAACCACGATGGCCTCACCTTGAACCACGATGGCCTCACCTTGAACCACGATGGCGTCACCTTGAACCACGATGGCCTCACCTTGAACCACGATGGCCTCACCTTGAACCACGATGGCCTCACCTTGAACCACGATGGCCTCACCTTGAACCACGATGGCCTCACCTTGAACCACGATGGCCTCACCTTGAACCACGATGGCCTCACCTTGAACCACGATGGCCTCACCTTGAACCACAATGGCCTCACCTTGAACCACGATGGCCTCACCTTGAACCACGATGACCTCACCTTGAACCACGATGGCCTCACCTTGAACCACGAGGGGTGTCGGTCCTGAATGTACTTTGACCCGTTTTCCGCCACCAACCGGTACCCGTGGCGCCGCGCGTACAACCTGAATAACAGACGCATAGGATTGAAGGGGGGGGGGGGGGGGGGACTTGTGTTGACTTGTGTTGACCACGTTGACCTGATCAGCCACGCCAGCCAAGCAGCCAAGCAGCCAGTGCACGTGCCTGTCTTGTGCAGCATGCACAGAGATCTTCACGCAGAGCCATCATACACACAGGCCATGCGTACCTCACCCAATTTATGTGCTTTGAGAATGACCTAAGCTCTAGTTCCTGCAGCGAAGGGGAGATGGGATGGCAGAAGCATTGACTGCATTGACTGTGTTGACCTTAGTACTTGAGTGTGTGTGCATGCGCATGGTTGCAGAAACACACACGTTCAGGTTCACATGGGTTACTGCCATGGCAAAGGTCCATGCGAATGCACTGTCGCACATACACATACATGCATTGCGACACGATCACACACAGGGTGACACAGCAGCACATATGAACATGCCTACTGCAGCACACACGCACATGCCTACTGCAGCACACACGCACATGCCTACTGCAGCACACACGCACATGCCTACTGCAGCACACACGCACATGCCTACTGCAGCACACACGCGCATGCCTACTGCAGCACACACGCGCATGCCTACTGCAGCACACACGCACATGCCTACTGCAGCACACACGCGCATGCCTACTGCAGCACACACGCGCATGCCTACTGCACCACACACGCACATGCCTACTGCAGCACACACGCGCATGCCTACTGCAGCACACACGCGCATGCCTACTGCAGCACACACGCGCATGCCTACTGCAGCACACACGCGCATGCCTACTGCACCACACACGCACATGCCTACTGCAGCACACACGCGCATGCCTACTGCACCACACACGCACATGCCTACTGCAGCACACACGCGCATGCCTACAGCACCACACACGCACAAGCCTACTGCACCACACACGCGCATGCCTACTGCAGCACACACGCGCATGCCTACTGCACCACACACGCGCATGCCTACTGCAGCACACACGCGCATGCCTACTGCAGCACACACGCACATGCCTACTGCAGCACACACGCACATGCCTACTGCAGCACACACGCACATGCCTACTGCAGCACACACGCGCATGCCTACTGCAGCACACACGCGCATGCCTACTGCACCACACACGCACATGCCTACTGCAGCACACACGCGCATGCCTACTGCAGCACACACGCGCATGCCTACTGCACCACACACGCACATGCCTACTGCAGCACACACGCGCATGCCTACTGCACCACACACGCGCATGCCTACTGCAGCACACACGCGCATCCCTACTGCAGCACACACGCGCATGCCTACTGCAGCACACACGCGCATGCCTACTGCAGCACACACGCGCATGCCTACTGCACCACACACGCACATGCCTACTGCAGCACACACGCGCATGCCTACTGCACCACACACGCACATGCCTACTGCAGCACACACGCGCATGCCTACAGCACCACACACGCACAAGCCTACTGCACCACACACGCGCATGCCTACTGCAGCACACACGCGCATGCCTACTGCACCACACACGCGCATGCCTACTGCACCACACACGCACATGCCTATTACACCACACATGCGCATGCCTACTGCACCACACACGCACATGTTGACGGCGAGGGCAACCCAGATGGGGAATTTCCACATGTTCTCATGGCCCTCCGCATCCACCACCTTGGGCAGTGCCTCATAGAACCGCTGCCACGCCTCTGGCATCGCCTCCCCGCCCCTCCCTCCCCCTTCTTGCTTCTCCTTCGAGCCCTCATCTTTCTCCTTCCCCTCACCTTTCCCCTCTTCCTTACCCTCCGCGTTCCCCTCACCATCGCCCTCCCCTTTTCCCCCCTCTGCCTTCTTGCCCTCCCCGTTCAGCCCCCCCTCCCCCTCTCCTTCCCCCTTGCTCTCCACTTCTCCTCCCTTCAGCCGCCTACCCCTCAGTCCTCCATGCCACCTTCCCTCCCACTCTCCCTCTCCTTCCATCAAACGTCTCCTCTTCCCATCCTTCTCCCTCCTCCCCACCTCCCCCCTTCCACCTCCCCCTCATCACGTTCCCCCATTCCCCCCTTCTGCCCTTCCTGTCCCCCATCGCCCACCCCAGCCCCTACACCCTCTCTTTCCACTTCCTCTCCCCGTATCCCTTCTCCCCCTCTCCCCTCTCCCCCTCCCCCTTCTCCCTCACCCCCAGATCCCCCACTCCCCCCTCCCCCCACCTCCGCCACCTCCCCCCCCAGCTCCCTCAGCAGTCGCGCTACAGCCGCCTCCACGGTGTGCACGCCCTCAGGGCTGTAGCGCGAGTCGAGAGTCACAATGCACCCCGGCCGTGGGGGGGCCTCCTCCCACGCCACTGCCGGCAGGCTCTGCAATGGGAAGAAGTTCCAAACCTCCAGGCTGTCCACCCAAGGCTGAGGCTCGGAAACGAACGGGGGAGGGAACGATTTAGGTGACAACGGATGGCGAGGAGATGTACGTGTGTGAAACGATTGAAGTAACAAGGGAATCTACAGAGCAGATTGGAACAAGATTCAAAGCCGTTGGTGCAGGCAGCAGCGTTGCAGAGTGATGCCGAAGCAGATCACAGGCTAGAATTGGCGCGCTTCATCTCGCTACGTTGGCGCGCTTCATCCCGCTACGTTGGCGCAACATGCACACCTTCGTGGGCGTGAAGGCGCAACGAGGCGGGGAGGCGCAACGAGGAGGGGAGGCGCAACGAGGCGGGGAGGCGCAACGAGGCGGGGAGGCGCAACGAGGCGGGGAGGCGCAACGAAGCGGGGAGGCGCAACGAGACGGGGAGGCGCAACGAGAGCGCAGAGGCTCCAGACGCCCGAAGTGGGCTACGAGTCGACTCACTCGCAATGCCGTCCCGCGCAGTAGCGCGCGGCGAACATGCACTTACAGCGCACGGCGCACATGAGGATCTACGGCCACGATTCCACCAAGGAGCGGCACAGATGCGCGCACCTCATTGACGACGAGGAAGCAGTGCACGACACTCAGAGCCAGAAGCACCGCCGCGCCGCGAACGATCCACGGCTGCCATTCCACAAGACTTGCCGCTTTCCCGCCGCACGACGCCGAAGCGCCCGCCGCGAGTTGTGAGAGATTCTTATGCACAGCACCCAATCTCCTCCGCCAGCTCAGCAGAACTCGCGAAAAAGTCCTGATCATTTTCTTTCCTGTGTGCCGCGATCCGCAGCGGGAGCACGAGATGGAGATCCGATCGGACCCGTGCTGTCGCTTGAGTGAATCCGAGTCGTCCGAGGCTGATGATGGCCCGAGAGCTCGGCACCCCCGATACCAACAGTCTCAGCCGAGCTTCCAGTCCAGATTCAACGTAAAATGACAGTGATTCATGCTATAGCCACTAGCCTCAATCTCAAATAGAAGCCAGGAAAACATAGAAGGAAATGTCAAGGTGTAACTACGGTATTTGCAATAGAAAGAGCAAACGGGGGTAGCACTAACCAGACATTAAGCAGCCATTTAATAGCAAATAAATGGTAACATTACACGCACGTATGCTAACCACTACTAATTCCACACTTGGGGTAATTTCTGACGAAAGGAATCATATCTTTGGTTAGGATGGCGCGGACAAAGCCCAAGAAATGGTGAAGGAAAAATGATAATACAGCCTGGTTAATGAACAACAGGTACATTACGAATACATATGTATATTTCCATACTATATTTCCGGCATTCTATTTTTATTATCAATTCTTAGTACTATTAGCATACGAAATCAAGCCTCCGCTGCAATACTTGTCAGAAACTAACTAGCAGGAATAATTGCATTGATGAGAAAGTGAGTAGAAGTACAAACTCTAAACTGGGTTGTACCCTATATGGGCTACCCCACTACAGCCTACACAGCACACCCATAATAACAGTTTGACAAACCCCCATAGGCAAAGTGGGGGAGAACCAGTGGTCACAAGACCAGTCAAGAAAAGCAAGCTCCGGGTGGATCACAAAGTCACCACACATTCTGAGCACAAGCAAATGGCCACAAGGCCAGTTCACATGCAGAATTATACAAAAAACAGAACAAACAGTGTAGTGATCACTACCTAGCAAGAGTAAGCATGCAGGTATATATATAGATCACAGTACAAGCAAAGTCAAGCAGTGAGCAAGTGAGGCAAAGCAGGGACAAGGCCTAACATCGTACAGAAGCGCTGATGATCACCAGGCGGAAGTGCCTTGGTGAATATATCAGTAGTGTTGGCCCGAGTGGCCACGTGAGCAAGACGAAGCTGACCACGCTGCTGCAACTCTCGAGCAAGGAAGTAACGCGAAACGATGTGCTTCGTTCTGTGCTCAAGTATCTGCTCCTGACACAAGGCAATACCAGCCTTGTTATCTACGTACAGAACTGGAGGAGAACGAGGCCGCTCTCCCAAGTCAGTCAGCAGGTAGGTGAGCCAGCGTAACTCATGTGCAGCCATGGCTCCCGCGTAGATCTCAGCCTCACAACTGGAGCTGAGAACAGAAGACGAACGGGTAGACCGCCAAGAGACAGAGCCAGAGCCAAGGCTGAACGTGTAACCCTGTGATGACCGCTGCGTAGCCTGGTCGTCAACCCAAGACGCGTCTGAGTGTCCAGTGAGGACAACTGAACCCCGCCCTCCAAGCACGAGCCCCATGCTCGATGTACTGCACAAGCAACGCAGTACTCTCTTCGCAGCATCCCAGTGCACCTTTCGGTGTCGACCAGGAGCCACGTTTATAGCATGGCAGAAGGCCAAGAGGGTACGCAAGGTCAAGACGAGTGCAGGTCAATTGGTACATGAGGCAGCCCACCATCTCTGGATACGGGCCACTCGGCTCTACGGACTCGTCCGAAGGTGGAGCTGAGAGCGAGCGACCGGTAGCCAGAGGAGTGGACTGTGGCGAGGACCGAATGAAGCCGAAGCGCTGAAGGACCTGCTGCACCATGTGTGATTCGGACAGGGTGATGGTGCGCCGTGCTCTATCCCGGGTGATCTGCAAGCCAAGATAGCTACGCAGCTCACCCAGGTCTGTGCACGTGTGTCTCTTCTGTCAAACTATATGTAAATATATGCAATAGTGTAGTCTGTAGGCTGTAGTGGGGTAGCCCATATGGGGTACAGCCCAATGTTAGGGTTTCTATTTGTACTCAACTTTCTCATAGTTGATTTATTCATGCCTGTAGTTTTGAACATTGTTTCAGAGCACTAGGTCCGTAGGACCGTCTTTTTTTTTTTTTTTTTTCGAGCCCACCTACCGTTGCGGTTACTGAGCTTCCCCACGCCTTGCCTGCGCTGCGCCACCTGCGCGCGCCCTCCATTGTCTGCGCTGTGCCAACTGCGCGCGCTCTGCCTAGCCTGCTGCCTTGCGCGCTGCCCGCTGCTGCCCCGCGCGCTGCCCTATTCCCGTGCGCGCTGCCCGCTGCTGCCCCGCGCACCGCCCCGGCAGCCTTCGCGCAGCCCGCTGCTGCCCCGCGCATCGCCTCCGCCGCTTGCGCAGCCCGCGGCTATCCCGCGCGCCGCCTTAGCCGCCGTCGCGCGGCCCGCTGCTGCCCCGCGCGCAGCCTCTGCCGCTCGCGCAGCCCGCAGCTGCCCCGCGCGCCGCCTCAGCCGCCCTCGCGCGGCCCTCTGCTGCCCCGCGCGCCACCTCTGCCACTTGCGCAGCTCGCGGCTGCCCCGCGCGCAGCCTCCGCCGCCCGCGCGCCGCCCCAGCAGCGTCCGCGCTGCCCCCTGCTGCCCCGCGCGCCGCCTTACCCGCCCGCGCGCCGCTTCAGCAGCCTCCGCGCGCCTCGCGGCTGCCCTGCGCGCCGCCCTAGCCACTTGCGCGCCGCCCCGGCAGATCGATCGCAGCCACTGCAGACCTGCGTGCAGGTTCTTCCGGCCTGCTCTCTGCTATGCTGCCTGCGCGCTACGCTTACCTGCGCTACAATCATGGCGACTCTCAATGTCCTCGCTTTTGATTCTGACGGTCGCCCGATCGAATTTGCTACTTGGCTAGACGACCTGCAACTGTTTCTTATGACTGATGCCAAAGACGGCGTGTCCCTATACGATCACGCGTCTGGTTTCTCCGTTGCTACTGATGACACTGCTGGCGCTCTCACTCGCTCACAGTGGCAGACCCGTGATGCTGCTGCGCGCCTCGCTATTCGCAACCACCTGCCGATCACTGAGCGCGCGCACTTTAGCCAGCACAAGACAGCCAAGGCACTGTACACTGTTGTAGTCGCCCGCTACTCTTCCCCTGCCACTGCAACCCTAGGTCGTCTTTCCCTACCCTACCTGTTCCCCGACCTGTCCTCGTTTACCACTGCTAAGGACCTTATCTCTTACCTTCGCGTTAGTGACGCTCGCTTTCGTGCCGCCCTTCCAGACGAGTTCCTCGATGAGAATCCCCCCCCGATGGACTTTAGTCTCTACTTCCTCGTCACCCGCCTCCCTGACACTCTTCGCTCAGTCAGGGACCACTTTCTCGCCCTAGACCCTACCACTCTCACTGTCGCCGACTTCGAGAAGCACCTCCTAGCAGCCGAAAAGAACATTCTCGCTGTAGGTGCTGCTCGTGGCACTCCTCGCACTCCCCTCTTTGAGGGGTGCTCCCCCTCCCCTCTTGCCCCCTCCTACGCCTCTGCTGCTGCTGCTGTCGACTTCCTTGGTGCTGAGGAGGTTGGGGCTGCTTCCGCTCCTAGTGGGAAGCGCCGCGGGCAGCAGGGGTGGCAGGGGAGGTGGAGGTGGCGGTGGAGGGGGCGGTGGTGGAGGCGGCGGGGGAGGTGGAGGTGGTGGGGGTGGTCGTGGGGGTGGAGGTGGTGGTGGGGCGGCGGTGGTACCGGGAGCGGTGGAGGTGCCAGCGGCGGTAGTGGGGGAGGAGGGAGCGGTGGTGGCAGCAATGGTGGGGGCTAGAGTGGAACTGGCCAGAAGGGGAGCTCCAGTGGTGGCCAGGGGCAGCAGCAGCAGCAGCAGCAGCAGCATGAGACCCCCACGACTCAGTAGCTTCGTGACTAGTACGCTCAGCGTGGGGCGTCTGGGGGTCCTGTTCGCTGCCCCTATATCATTCGCACAGGTCCCCGCGCTGGTCGCCCATGCAACGGTTTTCACACTGAGTACCGCTGCTTCTCTCGGCTTAGCGACGCCTGGCGCGCCAAGTTTCCTGACTATAATGCGATTCTTGCTGCCATGTATGCATTGACTGTTAGTGCTGAGGGTGACTGCTACTTGTGTGTGCCGCCTGACCCAAGTATAGAGACTACAGCCCTAGGTGCTAGTGAGTCTGCTCTCCCTGGTACTGCGCCTGCTGAGGCCTTGCACACCTTCACGCTTGACTCAGGTGCTTCCCGTCGAATCGTCCGCGACCGCGACCGTAGCTCTTGTCGTCGCTGCCGTAACCGCCACTCCCGCGGCCTTTATTGAAGTTGTTGCTGTCAAATCTGCCTCCCCCTCGTCCTCTGCCTCTTCCACGGCCGTACCCCTGGCCGATGCTTGCTGCCCCGGCGCCATCCGCACTCGCCAACTCACGGCGGAGGAAATCCCCTTGAAGGATTGCTCGCTTCACGTCTTCAAGCGAGAGGCGGGCCAAGTCACGGTTGAGGTTGATGATGTGCGAGGACCACGGCTC